GAGGGATTAAAAACTGTATTAATAAAACACTTAGAACCTTACCTGGCATACTCTCAGCACTCAATAAATGTTGAATATTATTCTTGTTATTGTCTGATGATTATTATTGCTATTAAAGATAAGTACCCCAAACAGGCAACCAAAGTCATAAGGCCATTAGCTGTCTTGTTTGCCAAATGCCTACCCAAGTTACAAATATAGCAATAGTTGTTTCTTTCAGCATTTCCCAGCCTCCTGTGTCATTTCCCCTGCTAAAGGTTTCATTCTGCCTTTTCCAGAACAAACATCATTATAATCACTTCTTGTTCACATCTCTGATATCCCCATGGCTCTTGTTGCTCTCACTGGTAGTAGCAACACCTCTGAATTTACCACCATCTGCAAATATCATTAGCTATTGTTTATTCCCTCTCCCACACTATTAATGAAGATGTTAATTAAGACCAGAACTAACACTGACCCCAGCAGCAATCCACAAGACATTTATCCAACTGGATAAACTTCTGTTAGTCATTACCCACTGCTCCTAGACATTACCACCACTCCATTCCCTTCATCTGCTAATTTGTAAGAGAGTAGGGGAGAGAATTAAGGGAGCCCAGTATTATTTAAAAATTAACACTCTGATACTTAGGGTTTTGTAAAGAGATTTGGTGGAACATCAGAAGGGCGCTTGTCAGCAGTATGTATGAGTGAAAGGAGCCAGCCTCCGAAAGAATTTGGTAACTGCCTGGCTCAGCTCATGGGTGTCAGAGAATTTAGCAACACGCTGTAAGGCTGGAGGACACCGGCACAAATATTAGACTGCTTTTCAGTTGCTTTCTTTTACAGACAAACAGACTGAGACCCAAAGAGGCAAAGAGACTTGTCCAAGGTCACTTCCCTGGCTCATGCTAGAATCTGAACTGAAACTGGGAGTTCTAACTTCCTGTCTCATGCTCTTTGCAGGAGCCAAGCTGATCATGCTTCCCAGAGGTTCTGTTCAGACATCTATGTTGTTAGCATTTGCCCACTAAATCCTAGATGCACAGAGCAGTGTCCATCAACTTCATCTCTTTGTTCCCAGCAAACCATCTCCTATAGTCTCAGTTCTCTGTACACTTATTAAAGGAATGAGTATTATTCACCATGATGCACTGTGCTCTCGGCCTATAAATTAGTAGTTCTCAACCTTGGCTGAACATTACAATCACCCAAGGGAGCTTTTAAAAAAATGCCGATGCCCACACCACACCCCTTGAGATTTGAATTTAATTGGATTGAGGAAAGACCAGGCACTGGTAATTTTTTAAATCTCCCTAGGTGATTCTAATGCATCCAGGGTTGCAAGTCACCTCCCAGGATAAAGTATTTTTCCAAAGATTCCAAAATTGAGAAGTTTCTTATTCTATAGAATGGGATCAGTACAGAACCACTGTAATTTAGCAATTAGGAGCAAACCTTTCTTTTAAACAGGAAATTGAACTGCTCTTCAAACCTTTTCCTTGGGAAAAATGCAAATTACATTGCCAACTCAGAATAATGTAGTTTGGAATCTATTAATCTGAGGCTGGTGTTTACACGGGGCAATTTTTCCAAACTTAACCTTCACCATGTGGGAAGTAGTGCCAACTGAAAACTCTAAGGTGGTCTCAAAGGGACTGAGTCCTTTACTACAAAAGCTGGCCCACTAGAAGCGAAGTCAAGCAGAGGACAGAGAGAGGACTTACCAGTGTTTAGGGGTTTGCTCATTTAGACATTAATACCCATTGTACCTTCTCAGTAACAAATGCCTTGCTGCCACTGGTGTGGCAATGAGGCCTTAGTAGAAGAAGAATGTAGGTCAAAGACAAAATAAGGAGACATAGTCTCAGGCTTCCTGCTGGACAGGAGCCCAAGAAGAATAGAAGACAAGGCTTTGGAAGGCCTCAGAGGCTGCTAGCCTCCTGGCATCATACTTCACGGTCTTTTCCATTTTAGGGGAATATCCCCAAATGACTAAGTGCCCAACAACACTCCTACCTGGCAAAGAGGGAAATTCAGAGTGCTCGTGTATGTTGGTACAGGCTGTTCACTGCCCAAAGGGACCTGGTGTATGGGGGTGGAGATCTGAAGTGAGAAAAGGTGTTTTCAGGAAGGACAGAGGGTTCTATTTGTAGTTCACAGAAAGGCCCCACCTGGAAACTGGGATGACTGAAGAGGGAGGGAGACAAAGACCCAACCATACCCTGGTTATAGGTAGCAGGGGGCTGGTGATGAAGACAGAGAAGAAGAGAGGAGAAAGGATGGAAAGTGTTGGGGAGAGGTTGTGAGGAGCTCTCCACCGTCACAGAATATGCTCCAACATCAGTGCCTCTCCATGGTTGGGAAGGTGGAGATAAAACAGGAAAATGTACAGGAAGCCAGAGAAACATGGAAATGGAGCATCTGTAGAAAAGACAATAAGATGCACAGAGAAAGGAAGTCCAAGGTGGGAATATTTTTCACACATTCACTCTCTCACCAGTTGAAGTTAGGGCCCCTGCCACGCATGGCTCATGGGCTTGCCTGCCGCTGTCACAAGCTGGTTCAGCTTTGGGGAAAGAGAGGGGAAGAGAAGGCGTCCTGGCAACAGTCCCTGATGGAGGGTCAGGACAGGCGCCTTAACCAGTGAATGCTTCCAGATGCACTGAAGTGTCCTCCCAAAGCACTGCCCAAGAAGCAGCTTAACCAGAGAGTGACTCCTCTAGAGGGGGGAAAAAAAATCAGTCATGTTGACAAGGTCAAAATACCAAGAAAACAGCCTTCCCAAGTGAGCAATTCTGGGTCAGGATCACAGTTCATTAGAACGTACTCTTTTCTGCTTCTCCCTTCGTAGACCTCTTGGTCAGGGTGTGATTTTTAATATATGCCCCCACACAGAGGCTCTCAGGGTACACAGTGTCTAAGAAAACATGTAAAAGATTGGATTTGGGGAAAGGATTCTCTCCCTGCTAACTGTTCAAAAGAAAGGCTCTAAGGACGTGCTGCAGTAGTAGCCAAATACTGCCATCCAAGGACAAATTAGCCCAGGTGGTATTTGGGCATAGAAGGAGCAAGTTACGGTGTGGTCTGCCCTGTTCCAATATTGGGACTCAGCGAGCACTCAAAATTCCCTTAGGGTCTGGAAATTGAGGCAATTTGGATGAAACCAAATCCCTTTGGTTGCACCATAGAAAGCTCAGGGAGAGAGCCAATGGAGTGAGAAAGAAGGAAGTAAGGAAGGGAGGGAAGGTAGGAGGGAGGGAGGAAGGAACACAGCTAGGGAGGACTCACTTATTGAGCACAGACTGCTTGCCAGACATTGCTTTTGGCTTTTTCATTCACGCAATTCCGCAGACACTTTAGAACACCACTGTGAGGTTGGTATAGTTGCCCAGCTAATGAGTGGCCAGGTTATATTCAAGTCAGGTTTGTCTGATTTCCAATTTCCTCTCTTTTCCATGGACTAAATCTACATACATGTACACCTGTGTATATGTACATGCATATGTGTTTTATCACATCAGTGTTTCTTAAACTGCCCTTGTCACCAAGCAACCAAACAATGCAGACAAATTTCCTGTTACATTTCTGTTTTTTATCATGTCCTCAAGCTAATTGGTTTTCCTCTCTTCAGAGTGGCCTCCAGTGTTGTCACCATCAGACTTTGCCTGTATATTATTGAAGCAAGGGAGATCATTTGTCCTGGTTCTGTTGCCTACTCGGCAGGATTTGTTTTCCTTTTTAGTGGGAGGGGCAAGTGCCACTGTTTTTGCTGCCCTGGGACTTCTCAGATCTCCTTTAGATAAACAGCTCAGCCCTCTTCAATCCACAAACTTCTGATAGTTGGAATCTTCCCTTTGCCTTCGTGAAGCTTGGAGAAGCCTTGGAGAAACTTGGAGAAGCCTGGAGAAGCCTTGGAAAGCTTCTTTTCAAGCAGTCATCCCATACTTCTCTTAAAGAGGCACCTCCTAAACAGGCATTGAAGACCTCGCCCCTACTGCCAACAACCTTTGTGTTGTTTTCCTGAGAGGAAGTGGAGAGGGGCTGGGTGGGGGGCTACAGAGTCATGAGGCTGCACCCCCCCCCCCAGCTGAGGCGAGATGACCAGGTTCTCCCCCACCCCGATCCCGAGTCTCCCTGGAGCACACACAGATGCTTCAGGAGGAGATACTATCACAAAAGGGTTTATTAGGGAGAGAAAAGTGTGAAAAGCATGGAGCTGTTGGCAGGGACGCCTGCTCCAAGGTTCAGCCTCTGCTGTCTGCAGGCTCCGTTGATTGATCCTTCCCTTTTTTCCTCCACTCCCTACTTTCCAAGGGTTTACATTCACTTTACAAAGAAAAGCCATCACCAGGCAAAGATGTTTATAGCATTGTATTAAAGTTTGGTGGAGAGGAGGGGAAAGGAAGGAAAAGGCTGGATTGGGGGGGTGGGGGGAGACCGTGAGAGAAAGCAAAGGCAGGCATGCATGAGAGGCCGGAGCAGCGGCCAAGAAGAGGAAAAAGGACTGCCAGGGACAGGCAGACAAAGTGTGCCTGGAGCCTTATAGAAAAAGCGCAAAGACCTGAACCGGAGAAGCAGTTAAACACCCAAGTGCAAATGGACTTTGGGATTCTCCTGGCTAAAAAGGGCTGCCAAGAAAACACAAAATAGGCCACCTTGACGACCCAGAGAAACAAGTTCTGAGAAGGCCGGTAGGAGATGCCCAGAAAAGGGCCAGCAAGTAAATATATAAAGGGCAGAGTATGCTAATATGCTGTGAGCCTTTAAACTGGGGGCGGGGGTGTGAAAGAGGGGGACAAGGAGGGAGAATATGAAGGTCTGAGACGGAGCAACATCAAGTGAAAACAAAAGCAGCACAGAGACAGACCGGGACAACACACACACACACACAAACACACACACACAGCCAGACCCCAAGAGAAGGACGCAGAGTCACACGCAGAGACAGACGGGAAAGGACCGGGGAAGGGGGGTGGCGAGTGGGAGTGGGGGGAGAGGGAAAGTCTGCAGCCAAACGCAGCAGACTTGGCAGTGGGACAGCAGGGCGGGCCAGGCAGCGACTGCACTTGCTGCGTCTCGTCCATTGTGGTCTCCGAGGGGGGGAGGGGGGAGTTGTTTGTTTGTTTTCTTGTTTAGGCTCTTTGTCTCTTTTGTTCCAAGTACTGACTTTGCTTCTTTCCCAGACCCTGGGCTGATGGAAGAGCTTTATGGATTTTTCTTAAAGAGACAGGATTAGCTAGTGTCCTAGTATTGGCCGTTTCTCAGTCTTAACCAGTTCCTGCCTAAGTGACTGTTTTCTTCATTTTTTTTAAAGGATTATACTAAGAATGGAGAGACAGTGTTTATGCTGCTTTTTGTGATAGTAAGAATGAACCGGTCAATTTCACCCTCCCCACTAAAGCTCTTCCTATGGGGTTGCCAATACTGCAGGAGGGGAAAGAGAAAACACAAAAAGGAGAAGAAAATCCTACAAACAACAGTAATGGGGAACATACAAAAATAATTCTAAACACATTGGTAAATGTTCTACTTTAAAAAAAAATAACAACAACTAAGCACCAAGATTTGAAATATGAACTTGAAGTTGTTAATAAGCAGAAGAGGGGCTTTGAAGGAAGAAGGACGGCTCCTCATCCCTCCGGTGACACTGCCAAGGCACTGCCCCGTCTCTTGGTGTCACACCGGGGCTTTTCTCAGGCTCCATCCCAGAAGATAAACGGCACAGCCAGCAGGCTCTGGGTCACTCCCCAGCCCCTCCTTGGCCTTCCTGAAAGGAAATGACCGTCCACATGCTGGGGCAGCTAGGTGTCACCACGCTGAGCGCAGAGCTGCTTGCTATTCACTTGAGGAGAGGCAGGGGAAAGGGGTGTCCCTCAAGCCTTTCACTTCTTTGTTTCCAGAGAGACTTCTAGCTTCCTGTCCCAGTAATGGAACTAGGTTTTGGTCTACAGCAGACAGCTTCTGAAGGAAATGAAATTTTAAAACACTCCCAAATTCGTCTAAGTTGGGTTTTCAATACCTCTCTAGTCCTCAGCCAGCCCTTTTCTTAATCTTACCTTCCTCCTCTCCTCTCCTGCCTTAAAATCTCCCAGTGAAATCTCGGGTGCCAGAGATGAAAAACAAATAAATACAGCCCTAGGACTATGGAAAGGTAGGTGGGGGTGGGGATGGCAAAGGGAAGTGGGGGTTCCTTTGTGCAGGGATCCTTTAAACTCAAAGTAAACACCGACTGCAGTGGGTTCTCCTGCCCCCAAGCCAAGTGTGGCTGGGTACCGCTGACTCTCGGGGGGTTGGGGTGCCTCTCCTCCGCCGGCCCTTGAGAAGTTTGGGACTTAAAAGACTGACAGTTTTGTCAACTGCTCACACTCGGGGGTGGCAGGATGAGGAGTTAAGAATCAGGGCAGCTTACACCCACAACTCTATCCACTGCCTTCCTCCTTCTACCTTAATTTTTCTCCTCTCGCCTCCCTCTTCATCCCCACTCACCACGCCTTTTAAAAAGCCACCACAGGCATCTCACCCGCCGCTGATGCGGTTTTACTGTTACTGCTGGGCTGCCGTTTGAATGGGCCGGGAAAACTCCCGCCTTCTCAGGCCACCCTCCGCTGGGTTTTCTCCTACATAAGCTTGGTGGCAACGTGGGCCAGAGCAGGCAGGGACCAGCCCGGGGGTGGGCGCGGGGTAGGAGGGGGGTGAAGGGGAGAGGAGGTGGGACCTTGGTCCCAGGCAGCCGAGTCCTAGCGGGGCCTGTGTGAGGAGCGCCCGGAGGGAGCACCAAACGAGTGGGGCATGCAGGGCATGTGTTCCCCAGCGCACGGAGGTCAAAGGGAGGAGGTGGGAGGGCGCAGGTCTCAGCTGCTCCCTCCGGTAGCCATTTGTGGGCACCTTTGTTTTGCGTAGATTTTCACGTCCGTGGTCACGCAAGGTAACAGGCAGCCTAACCTTGAGTGCCTGGCAAACTAGAGTCTGATGTTGGGGACGCTAAGGTGGCCGGGCTGAACCCATTAGCCCCTAGGGATGCCCGCAGGGCAGGCGTCGTCTGCGAACGACAACAGGACGCACCCAGCACGTGGAAGGATTGAGGCAAAATGTTGGCCCCATCCTTGGGGGGTAGGGGAAGAGGGGTTAGTACGATCCTCAGCCCAATCCAGTGGGATTCAGAAATGACCCCAGGACCAAGCGTCTGCCCCGCGCGGTGCGCAGAGGATTACGTTTCTCTGCCCCGCACCCGGCCGGGCAGCGCACCCGGGGATCCAGTTTCCTTCGGAATGTTCCCGTTGACTCGGTTTGAAAGTTGAAGCCCCGGGGTAGTAAGGCTGGCTGCAAAAATCTCCAACCACACTAATCCTAGACAAAATAAAAACACAATAGGCCGCAAACCAACCAACTTGGGGCATTTCTGCGGGGGTCTCCCGGCAGGGTGCACGTCGCTGCGGAACCTGGAGGGAGGCAACCTTTCTACCTCGAACTTTCCATGTGTAGGAAGACCTCAGGAAGGTGTTAGAATAGGGTCTCCCCTCTACTGCCTACTCCGTCTCCTAAACTGGTATAAAAACATCCCCGGAACCAACTGCAGCCGCAGCTCTGGCGGGGTAGGGGGCGGGGTAGGGTGGGGTGGAGGCCCAGGAGGCTTGCCTTGAGGCTGAGCTCCGCCACGAATTTGCCCCACGCCAGGATGGAGGGTCTCCCAGGGAGACGAAACCCAGCTGGAGAAATCGCGGCCTGGGAGCCCCTGGCCCCTCTCGCAAGACAACCCGCCCGGCGCGAAGGATGCGTCTCCCGATCCCCGCGCAGGGAAACTGGAAGGCAGGCAGACTCTTGAGCTCTAACAGAGTAATCTCAAAGAAGAAGGAAAAAAAAAAAATCTTTAAAAATGAAAAGGGGGGGGAAAAAACTAAATTTGAACAAAACTAAATTACAAGCCCACAGGTCCCTGCGCCGCAAACGAGGTGGGGGAGGAGGGGGCGGAACGGCCGAGGCGCTGAGCGTGGGGGATGCAGCACGAACTCCGTCCCCTGCAGAGTCGGTGCCTTCGGGGGCTCCACCGCCGCACGCTCCGACTTGCAAGGTTTGGACTCACAAGGGAGGCCGAAGGTGGGAGGGAGAGGCGAGAAGAGGGGTGGAGGGAGGGAGGGTGGGGGGTCTTTTTCTCCTCTCGCCAGCTCCAGGAGAACTGGAGGTGGCAAAGCGTTAGAAAACTTTGGAAAGTTTGGGTAGCGTGGTTAGCGGTGGAGACGCACGGCAAGCTAGCTGTACTGGGGAAGGCGTGGGGGAGCAGGCTGGGTGTAACTGGGACACCAGGTCCTCAGGCGGTTAAAAATCCAAGTCTCCCGGGTCAGGTCCGCCTATGGCCCCAGAGGCTTCTAGGGGCCAGTACCCCGGGAAAGTTTGAGAACGTTTCTCTAGGAGACTGAGCAGGCAGAGCCGGAGTTCCGCGATTTGTGTCGGTGCGGAAAGCATTACCCCATGACAGCTCAGAGCTTGTCTGCCAAAGCGGGATTAGATCCGCTGGCTCAAGGGTTCGGTCCCCCACCTTCCCTCACCCGGCGAGGGCCTTGCGCGCGCCTGGGATCTTTGGGGTGATATGCGCGGTTTCGAGTTGCGCGCCGGGTCTCCATGTACCACGTGCGTCTACGGACTCCGGCGGGCACCTTCGGGAGAGTGCCCCCAAAGGGGAGGGGGCCACGCAGCCGGGATCATGCTGCTGCTACGACATTCCAGCTGGTGCACATCCTTGCTGGAGGCAGGACCCTGTGGCCCAACCCAAGTTCTCCCCGCGCCCTGGGAAGGAAGTGTGGTGCGCTCGTTGGAGCGCGAGGCTGCCGCCGCCCATTCCACATACTGCCTGGCATCCTGCTTTTCCTCACTGCACACCAGGGAAAGGCATAATTCAATTATATCATCCAAGTGCAACACAGCCTTTTCCTCTTTTGCCCTGGAGCCTACGACGTTTCGAAGGCGAATCTCCCAATTCTCAAATAAATACCTATCGCTCCAAAGCCGAGCTGGGTTCTCTAGTAACTACTGAGGGGAAAAAAGAATTCAAATCGGATATGAGTTTACAGCCTGAAGCGGCTTATTTAGGCTCATTGAGTGCCATTCCAAATGGCACAGCTCGCGCTATTTCGAGAGAAGTTAGAGATTGGAGAGAAAACGGGGTTATTTAAAGTGACTCCCAGAAAGCAACTTTTCTTCCCCTGGCTCCCTCGGTTACCGCGTCAGTGCTCCAGCTTAATGCAGCCCGTGCGACCCAACCTTTGATATTTAAGCCTTGCCAGCTCCTGGGTGAAACTACCTGTTGGGAGATTCCGCAGCCTAGACATTCGGCCCTCACTTCCCCGGTGCAATCCTGGCAGCGATGGGATGGCTCTGGGGTTGGCACGAGAAGGGAGAGGAGCGGAGAGCCGGGAGCAGCGGACGAAGTCAGCTGCGCCTGGCAGTGCCCAGTGAGCTGCGCCCGCGCTTCTGCTCGCTCTCGGAAAATTGGAAATAGTACGCTGAGAGGGGCCCCTGGCTTCAAGGATGGGCCCAAACTCAGCTCGATTCTCTAAATTAGGAAACCCCGAAACGGTGCCGTTTGTACTGGCACCTCGGTGCAAGTCTAACTTTAAAAGACAAAATGTCTCCAGGCGGCTTCCTCGGCGCCCACCCCCACCCCGCACTCGCATACCCTGCACTTTCTCCGGCACCAAAATTCCCCTTACTACTTCTGGAAATTCGGAAAACTCCTCAGACGCTTGGACGCGCTGCAACCCAGAGGCTGCTTAAAGCTCTTGCAGGAGTTGCTTGAGGGAAATCACTCTGTTCTTGCGAGCAAACAGAATCTCTGTATTTTAACACAACCTAACTGGATGAGGGAGTGGAGCTAGGAAGGACAATTTGAGCAGTCTTTGCAGCCTGTTGGAGGAAATTTCGGAAGTTGCGGACAGGGGCTTGTCTCTCACAGGAACCTGTGGCAGGGACAATTCGGGCCGGGCCCTGGGTTTGGAAGTCTCGCTTGGGAAGCACACAGCCAGGGTCTGGCTCACGCGGTTTAATAACATTCTTTCTGGCAAACTCTCCGGCAGATCCCGCCCTGACATTAAATTGGGGTGGACGTGGAGACGCAGGCTGGGCTAAACCGGAAAATTTTCCCCCAGACGCGGAAGGCACGCCGGGTTGTATCTCCGATGCGGGTTTCTGCTTTTTGATAACGAACCCCAGGCTGTTTGGGGAGCAGTGGAATTGGGAGAGGCCTTACGAAGGGGCCGATGTGGGGGGTGGAGGGGGCGGAAAGTCTCTGTAACTAGGGGTACGGTGGCGCTTTATTCTCGGCGCACGCGCTTCCATCCCCGTGGTCACAAAGCACTCGGCTGAAAACGAAATGGGGAGAAATATTAGGCAACTGCAGGGAAGAAGGGGGGTAACCCTCGTCTTGTTTAGGATGCTCGTTTTGACAGCAGAGACTGAGGGGTTATGTAGAAGAGAGAGAATTTATTCGTGAGAATTAATTGCACGGCGATGAGTATTGAGACTTCGAACCTAAAAGACAGCTCAGACCCTTTCCCGCGCCACAGTCTCTTTTTATGATCCTGACAATATGAGACTGGCCCTTAAGTCGCACTCCTCGTCCCAGACCTTCGTGGCATCTCCAGGCCCCGTGTGTCTCCCCGTGGACTCCTCTCGGCATCCTTGCCCAGGACCTAAGGGAATCTGGAACGACTCTTGCAAGCTTGCCCTTCGCAGGGCGCACACGCATGGGTGGGCTCTCCCCACGCGGCTGTCTCCTCTGCCCCGCGGACCCCTCAGGGGCCTGGGAAACCCGAAGTATTTTCCAGCGCTCAAACTCGGCACTCCTGTTCTATTTCAGTTCAGTCCCAGGGGCACGGACCCAAGGATAATAAACAATGCTGCTTATTAGAGATACAAACGGGCACAGAAAAGAACCACACAGAAAAGCAAGCGCAGAAAGCATTTTAACAAGTGGCCAGACGTTCAGAATTGCCATTGAAATTGACTTGTAATGTACAACAGAAGGTATTCCTCTGAAAGACACTGAAGTTGGAGGAATATAGGTTTGTCAAAGTGTGATGACTGATGGAGCAGTTTTTATTTACTTGGTTTTTCTCTGGAAATCAGGCAGGGCTGCTGCTACCTCTCTACAGGAGAGGT